GCACTCAGGCGCAGCTTCAGCACTTGGTCCAAAGTGATTGCCACTCGCCTCTTCGTCTCAATAATACGACCAATGCTAGAGTATGGCTTTCCCGTGTATTATGCCATCACCCGGAGCGAGGTTGAAAAGCTTGAGCGAGTGCAGCATGTAGCCACCAGGCTGATTCCCAACTTACGAGCTATGCCGTACGAAGGCCGGTGTAGGAAACTAGGGCTGTACACCCTAGCTTATCGTCGACTGAGGGTTGACCTCATCATGACGCACCGGATATTACATCTGGGTGATTACCCTATGTTGGGACCACTGCTTCATCTGCGCAAGCCAAGCAACACACGAGGACACCGGTATAAACTTGTCGAACCGGATTTGAAGCGGGTTGCTCACCAACTCTGTTTCGAACGCAAACTCATGAATGTCTGGAACGACGTGCCGCAGCACGTAGTAGGGGCAAACTCAGTGTCGGAATTTAAGAAGTTCCTTGACAAACACTTTGCCGACGCAAAATATATAGAGCGGAACACAACCTAACGGGTACATGTCCATGAGCGACGATTGGTGCAGCTACACAGAGCAAGCTCTACTCGCTGCTTCGAACCAGTATTCAGTAATCATCATACTGTCGTTACTTACCGGGTTGCGACAGTGCCTTTCCTATTTTTTCCATCACCTAGCAGCCGTTCAGTCCATTTAAACAACCGGTCTTATTACTAAATACCTACTCACCAGTATAATCTCGCAGCGTCTCAATCGTCTTTGGAGACAGTGTTGTATCATCTCATCTGTAAAACATATGGTGTACGGCACCGCATCGTGATTGGTTTTATTATGTTGACCAGATAGTCATTGTGTTTAGAAGACATCATGGGCCCAAGGATTCTCCGGTACCGGTGTTTGCAACGTCTGCACATTTTCAGTGTACTTCCTTTCAACTAGCTTGTGACGATCTGTGCATCGAATCATAGTCGAATTGCCAAGATTAACTAGCGCTGTGATCGAAACCATTGTGCTCAACTTGGAAGTAATGCATCAGTGTACAAACCGTTTGAACAACATCCAAAATGTCTGTGGTTCAGGAACAGTCAATTCACTGAATAAAGAAGTTCCGCGAACATGCAGTCAGACACGCCACTCGAAATTCAATGTTACTGCTTAACGGCTATGTTCCATGCGTCAGGAGCGTAAGCACGATTCAGTTAGCACAGCAACGAACATCGTGCGAGTCTTTCCTAACTTTAAAACAGTTCGCTCCCTTTAGTAACTTGAAAAGCACAATTAGAAGACGAAGCTCGGCAGATGCATGCATTTCGTATCGTCTCATCAGTGCCGATAACGATAACCGGTAATTTTATGTAACAGTTTGTGGGTAGAGACATACATACAAACAAATGAGAGAAAAAAAGCGGGTGCCTTTGTTCTACAACCAGGGCAGCCTGAGGCTGACCGAGAATTGTTTTTGAACACAAAGCTCTGGCTTAATCCGATTAATGACAATAGCCTCGGCAAACCGGAGGGGCCGGGAATTAATATGGCGAATCAGGATCCGAAACGCCTTGTTGACCTCAATTCGGTGACCCGATGTCAATAAGTGCCTGCCGATCGAAGATGCTGGCAGCCTGCGTACACATGTAGTCTGAGTTGGGCTTGCTTGCTGAATAAGTCCGCACTGAACCCATTTTGGTACATGCTCCTTAATTCGGGAACTCATAGCACTTAGTTCAGCAAGCAAGCCCAACTCAGACTACATGTGTACGCAGGCTGCCAGCATCTTCGATCGGCAGGCACTTATTGACATCGGGTCACCGAATTGAGGTCAACAAGGCGTTTCGGATCCTGATTCGCCATATTAATTCCCGGCCCATCCGGTTTGCCGAGGCTATTGTCATTAATCGGATTAAGCCAGAGCTTTGTGTTCAAAAACAATTCTCGGTCAGCCTCAGGCTGCCCTGGTTGTAGATCAAAGGCACCCGCTTTTTTCTCTCATTTGTTTGTATGTATGTCTCTACCCACAAACTGTTATATAAAATTACCGGTTATCGTTATCGGCACTGATGAGACGATACGGAATGCATGCATCTGCCGAGCTTCGTCTTCTAATAGTGCTTTCCCTAACTTTATCGGGCACTCACGGCTGCCCATCGAAGTCGTGTGTATTCTACTGTATCTGGCACAAAGTTCGTTCTCGTAGTGTGTCACTACATCGAGTTCCAATGGCATTTGTATCTTCGGTTGCAGTTGATTACCATTGATTTCATGACGCCAAACCTTCCAGTCTGGCTGTTTGCTCCATCACAGCTACCATGAGGTTTTTATCATTATTTGCTCTGTTGATTGTGCCTTCTGTTTAAAATAATGCTTCCCCTTCTCTGATGCCACTTTTTACTTGCTATGGCCGCACTTATTCTGGTTCGCACTGCTATTTGAATCTTTTTCCGCATATATCCTCTATTTATCTACCCACTCACGATCAATACCTTCTCTCTTTCAGATTGTTCCATTACGTCCAGGTTTTGTCATATCTCTTGAAATATATTGCATGCGTATTGGATTCGACTCTGTCGAAGACATACCTTCGATCTCATCGCCCGGTTATCCCACAGGCTCTCGGTCCGGACCAAACACCCCAACAACACCCATCACTCGTTCGGGCAAATCAAAGCAATCGGCTGCATTCACGTTTACACCGACATGCGCGCGGTCAAAGAAAGCGCGTGTGGATCCATCGCATCCGATGGTTCTACGCGAGGCTGCATCTAGCCAGTTCACTTCCTGTATACCTGCTTCTTACCTCGTCTCACCATCTCGATCCATAGAAAAAGCGTCTTGTCTGACTCAAAGCAAAATTGCAGGTAGTGAAACAACCGTGTTCCCATCCTCATCACTGTAATCGTATTATTCTCCTTCGTCTCTACGTCTTACGTCTATCCGATGTGTGTTTAGGCTCCATTTAAAGAAATCTTTTGTTCATTTCATTATGATCATTATTATGTACTAAAAGGAATGGAGAAAGATATCAACACTACACCGGTATCTCGCACTGTCTCTTTGCTGTCACGTGACCACCAGCGGCTGTGTGTCCTCCGAGGACATTGTGTAGTCGCTGCACCAATGCAGACCTGGAACGGTGATTTATGGATGAGAAGCTGGTCCTCTGGTCCATTGGGCCACCAATGAAATGGCTTCTAAAGAGCACTACACTGCGATGTTCAGATTAGTTCATCGGATTAATCCTTTTTCTGTTGACTTCCTTTTTTAAGGAAACCTGATTTAACTAAGTCAGACTTGTATTGGTCAAATTGATATCAGCATACTAAGGATTAGGGTCTTATCTGAAAGTACAGTCAGAAAATAGTACTAATTTTTTATTTGAATACATAATACCCATATTTTAAAATGTGACCGTAAAAGTCAGTAGGAAATAGATTAAAGGATATGACACATTATTAGAGTATATGCTGAGTATGCCTGTTCATCGCTTGCCCAGAGCTCTTTTGTTCCCTCCATAAGGTTGGAAGAAGCAACTATTTGCCTTGTTAGCGGGAAATGAATTTGTCGATTGCTGAAATCTCTTACAGTCTAGCCGTCCCGTCTTTTAGACTGTGGTCCACGCAACCTCGGGTGGTTAGAGGGTATGGTACGCGTCTCATCGGCAAGCTGCTTGTGTCTGGTGCATTTTTACTTCGTTATCTGTGGAGTGGGACAATAAAAGCGATAATGTCATATCTTCTCACGATAGCTATTTTGCCTTGAATTATTTGCATGGTATCTGTGTCTTCGCTCTCGATATCCTTCTAAGACATTTTAGATTAATTGTCTTTTTTGGCCTCTTTAGCGAACAGTGCATGAACTTGGCGACTCATCGTATGACATAGTAGACGTTATCTTTTTGTGTAGTAATGGCCGAATTCGGAAACGTTTTTCGCACCTGTTTGTCGATCAGCCTCGTTTGTCCAGGTTTGCACCCAGCGTTTTTAAAGATGACACCACTAGGGTTGAATTGACACTACTTGTTGTTCGTATTTGTAACAGTAGGCTCAGAGCTACTCTGTCTCCTCTCAGTTATGTAGGAACGAGTCCGCAAATAGGTATCATCAGCCACTTCAAACCAATCAGTCCGTTACTTACAGTTCAGTTCAGTGGAACAACTAGGATCCGAACACCGAAGAGCGGTGGATTCAGTTGCCACGACTCACATCGCAGTATTAGCAATAACTAACAACGTTCAAGTAGTGGGGTTGAACGCAGACAGAATGTAAAGAAAACGAAAGCGAGGAGAAAATGCGTTAAACTAAACAGAATGCAACGAAAATCGACAACCAGATGCAAGAAACCGAATGCAGGAATGCCACTTACTGCTTGACTGCACCATGTCTGATACAATCGGCCGGTGGCCCGGCAGTTTGCGCCCCTCGTTTGCAACCATAAGGTCACCCGTTCGAATCCGCGTAGTGGTGGGCATCCTCGCGCGGCTGTTGGTGGTCGCGTGGCAGCGAAGCGCTCTCACGGCGTACAGCTGGCGCTTATTTACTATTTTTTATTAGTGGGGACCGTCCCGAGGCCCCCACTCACGAAGACGACACACCAACCTTGCCAAGTCTCTCAATCAATACATTCGTTCCACTATGCCACGTCATGGACTGGCCACCTCGCGGTTTCACCCAACTTGGTGCAACTACGGCCTATAATACACACCGAGGGAGCCGACTAACGGCCATACGGAGGACATAGCTTTGCCAACGTAAGTGCTTAAGATTTAGCAAATATTCGAAAGTAGTACCAGTGGGCTTCTTGCCAAAACCAACTGGCGAATCTCACCATTGCTCAATCGATCTTCTCAGCAAACGTGGGCAATACTCCGCAAGCACTAGTGGTCAAACACTGCCAAGCGTTTGATGTTTTCATTGCGAACTGACCAGGTCTCTGTTCCATACAGTAACCGGTCTTACCACATCGTTATACATCCTACCTTTCACTGACAGGCTGATATCCCGCTGTCTCTGTAGATGGTTGAATCTGAAAAGCCAGACGGGTCTTGTTGATTCGCGAAGTAACTGCCTCAGTGATATGACCACCAGAGATGACACGCCCAACAGGGCAAGTGTGAACCGATCCACCACTTCCAGTGGCTGTTCGGTGATGGCTGGAATTGCAGATGTGTCGGTCCAGTCCTGCATCATTACTTTACACACTGAAAGCACAAAGCACATGCCGAAGCGCGGAGCACTACGCGTTTGTCTAGCTAGTAGTGTTTGCACATCCAATGCACCAGACCCAAGAAGATCTGTATTGTTCGCATACTCCAGTTTTGTCAGTCGGTCGCCTGACAGAACTTCGACTCTAGAATAGTCTGAAAGAACCGAGTCGTGCATGATCATCGATCACAAAGTTGAAGAAGGAATACATAGGACAACCCTACCGTACCGCACAACAGGTGAGGAACTCACGAGACAGTCAGCGTTATTGTCAGCTGTACGTCGTAATGGCGCTTCGCTGCCGCGCGACCACCATGTCACGTGAGGGCTGAGCATACTGCGAGGGCGCCCCCCTGCGCGGATTCGAACCGGGGACCTTATGGTTGCAAACCAAACGCGCAGACCACTCGGCCACCAGCAGGTTTGCCTGATATCTCTCCAACAACAAGTGGCGTTCGTCAGAATTACCCAATTTTCCAATTTTTGTTCAACTTCATTGTGGACTCCATTATGAGGTGTTCCCTTGCGGAGCGTCACGATGTTGGCGTTGAGATGCTGCTTAGTGGAAGGCTAGTTGGTCTTGATTATGCGGACGAGATTGTTCTGCTTTCTAACGATGATTGGGCAGCGTACTCGATCCTGAATAAGCTTTCTGTAGTGGTCCCATCATTTCGCATTCGTTTCATGCCTTCTTAGTGCAAAGTATTGTTGCGGGACCACTCTTGATAACGGGGAACTCGATATGGTTGATCGATTCACTTAGCTCGGCAGCTGCGTCAGCATCAATGAGCAAATAGAAATTGAAGTATGTTCACGCATTGCAAAAGCCAGAACTACCTTCTTGAACCTGCGGCATCTGGTGACAGAAGGGAGTTTCCCTCCGTCTGAAAGGCCGTGTATACAAGGCCACAGTGAGGGCCGTCCTGCTCTGTGGTAGTGAAACTTGTCCCCTTCGGTCTGAAGATCTGAGGTGCCTTCAAGCATGTGATCATCGTTGTCTGTGAAGCATTGCTGGTGTCGGATGGCACCAGCGTGTTCACAACGATGTGCGTAGACGAGTACTAGGTAGTGCAATCATGCTAGCTTCTTAGAACAACAGATGGCACTGAATAAGTTGCATTGGCTTGGGCATGTATTGTATATGCCCGGTCACCGCTTACCGAGGAGGTCCTTGTTTTGAGTGCCAGATGTAGGGTGTCGCAATGCCCGGCTTAGACAAAAGTTGACTTGGCAGCGGGAGATGAAGTCACTGACGACCAAACTTGTTGCTGTCGGTCCGTCACGCTTTCTAGTCTGGAGCCCACGTGACCCGCTTTGTGCTTGGCTTGAGACGTTACAAGAGATAGCTCACAGTTAGCACCATTGGCGTCTGCTGTAGTCACTTAGTCGGACTGCCTGTTTAAAGTATGTTTGTTGCTGAGTCATCTACGGAGTAAAGACTGATTATGGCGCGAGGCAGTAAAAGCCGCAATAAAGCTGTTTTGCTGACGATGGCCAGCTGTTTGTGATAGTATATTGTTGATAATGTGTATGTTCCTTGACTGAGTGTTTGTTTAGGACATTAATGTTTTCCTGTAAGTCTCCCTTTTCTCCCTATTATTATTCTTCATTCCGTACGTCACCGTGCTTGTACGGCAGCGAAGCATTAGTCCAAATGTCTGATGTACTGCTATTGATGATGATGATGATGACACTCGGGCTAAGTTTAGCTGTGCACACCGTTTACGAATGCTTCTTTTCGATTTATTTCAACCACTTTTGACCTGGAGAGTTTTCGGTGTTATTGGATCCCACCACTTCTCTCCGTGAGCAACACAGCACGTGCTCTGGAGCCCAACACTTATCAGGTGCTTCCTACAATTAACGGTTATATATTTGCTAGTCACATCCCATCGGTCTGCTATTCTTCGATGATATAAACCCTTTCTACACTTCCATTCCACTGCGTGGGGCTTCAGAACGAGCAGCAGCCCCTGTAAGTACAATGGTTTGGCCACATGGTTTCGGGTGAAATCACTCTTATCTGATACAGCGGGTGACAAAGCAAATGTCTAACTAGTCCCTTATAACAGTCAGAATAAGAACCGTATTTTTGCTTCTGTTTCTTATTGCGATATTCGTCTCTTGTGCCGCAGTCTTGGCGGTAGAACTAATGACGATAGGCAAAGTTAATCGTATTGTTAAACTGCGATTTCAGGATCGTACTTATAAATGAAGCAATACAGTCGGCTCACAGTAAAGATACAGCAGTAAATCCGTGTATCGTTCAAGCTGTAGCGTGTTAGCGATATGCAGACATTACCAGTCGCGTGTGACTCGGGGATGCTGCTAGGTCACCCACACCTACGTTAGCCTGAACCGGTAAACTGTGGAAAACTGCTAGGTTGGGCATGTATGCGTTCACAGTGGTGTGTAGAATCAGCTGACAACATTAAATAACCACACTTGTGATCTCTGTTTGTATCCTGAATCAATTCGTAGAGTGCAAGATGAACAGTAACGCGGTCGGTGGTCTAAAGAATTTCGTTTTTGCATTGTACTGCTGATGTATCCGGTGCGGATCCGCGTCCTTGCGGGCGATCTCGTGGTATACCCTGCTATATGTGCTCGCGTGACAGCTTTAATGCTATGTACCTGCGTTCTGCTGAGGGTAACGCTCTGCTGCTGATCGCAAATCTGAAATTTAACAGGCTACTCATTGTCTGTCAGTAGCATAATTCGCTTTCGTGAACTTGTCGCCAATCAGCGTCGGATGGTATCACCTCTTCCTCGGTTTGTTGGCTTAATGGTCATTTCCGATCTTTCCATAGCTTTCACTTTGATATCCTCGGTGGACATTCGGTACCATGATGACCTGCTATTGGGTCGTCTTCGCACAGATGAGGATTCATCCAACTGCACCGTCACTGCGCCTGATGAGGTTAATTCACTTCCACTTAGGCTGCTTCGCTTGCCACGATCCTCTCCGCTGACTGGTTTTGCCGGTCTCGTCGACGCTGCAGTCTCTCTGGAGGCACGTGTGCTTACTCGAGGTTTCCTGGTAAGTATTATTCTTTCTTTGGGGATCGTGTCACACACCCGTTATGTGTGCCGGGTTCCTCGGTCGCTGTTACTATTCAAAGCGCTTTGTGTTGCTAGTACTCGTGGTGCGACAGCTTTCTTCCAAGTTTATCCCTGTAGACTTCCAACTTTGATCCATTTTTTCTCTGTGAGTTAATCCGAACTAGATTACTTGTTTTACCATAAGCACTGTTTATTTAATCTTTTTCATCAGGGGATGTTGACATTCCATTCTTTGCACTCTCCATTGTTAGACCATATTCGAGGAAGTGGATGGCTTGGGAGTGTGGCGTAGATATTGGTGTCAATTAAGAGCAGACCACCTACGATTTTGGTTATATCCCGAAAACGAACAATCCGTCCAGAGTACTGCTCCTTTGGGTCGCATCGATCTACGCCATGTAGCTGCACCGCGTGCTGTACCCGCCCCAAGACGCATTTGTGCTCGAGCCAACACCATATTTATGCGTTCGATCCGGACGATTGAGCCTGGTTGGTTGTCCGCGTCTATCAATGCGAGTTCTTCCGGCACGGATTCGAACGAGAGCATTCTTTTCCGCTCCTCTCCAGACCATAGCTGGTTGGAACAGAGGTATGTCGAATTTTATTGTTGTTGCGGTCCTGCGTGCACTTCTCGGTTGCTCCTTGACCTCCAGTTCGTCAGCTACATTACACTTTCTATCACAATTCGATCCATGTGTACGTTAAAGCTATTCCGGTGGCTACTCGTTTGCGTGTATTTTTTTCCCCTAACACTTATCACGGTAGAATCTCACCGCTTGACAGCATTTGAAATTGTTCCTTTCCTTATACCCACTTTCGATTTTAGTTGTGTCGCTGTCTAGTTTCTTTTTGGCTATGAATCTGGAATGCGTTCTTACTGTGGATACGATGGTCTTGGGTTCTGTGCATTAACTCTGGTAGTTCTTGACTCCATCTGATTATCATTGCTTTTCTGCCAAACATTTTGCTTACACAAAACTCATTTCACTTAGGCGCTTTTACGGTTTTTAAGCATAGACAGAGTCTGTCTATTATTGCGAATGTGAGCTTTCTTGCCCATGTGTGAAAAGCTATTGAAGCCACTGGGGTTGTTATCTGCACTAGTAAGTATGGATAACCATATCTCGGATAAGTAAGACAGCTAGTTTTGTTCCCCTTCTTGTTTGGTGCTTGTTTAAACCGTCCGGGATTATTGCACATACTCATCGGGCTCATCAGCATTCTCATACGTCTCCGCCATGATGCTCAATCTGTCCTCCCTTTTGCATTTAGACAAAATCTCGTAGTGGCTACTTTAGCAGCCTTCGTGTGTTTGAGGTTGATAGTATTATTGTCACACATGAACAGTTTCACATTTTATTGGAGAAGGCTCAGTAAACGAAATTCGCATGTGTTGTTTCAGTAACGGCAACTAAGCTATTTTGGTTTGAATGCTTTGCGTATGCAGGTTAGATGTTTGTTTTTCAGCTTCATTTATCTTTTCTGTGTTTGTTGTCCATCGGTTCGTTTGCGTCAAATCAGTCAACCGTCGAAATGCAGTGGATCCGGTTACCCCCTGGTTTTCCTTTTTAAGTAATACTTTCGGATAATGAGAATCCGAAGACAAGTAGCACATGTAGCATTGTATAATCGTTTGGCATAGGCGTCAGTGGCCAGAATATATGAATACTGTCGATTTCGCAGACATTGTGCTCTGGTGTTTAGCTGCTAAGACATAAACCAATCGATCCCATGTACTTCATCTAAGAATGTAGAATACAACAATTTGTTTACATTTCCCAGCTTTATGTTTCCTGAACCTTTATTGCTACTTTACTCAAGTTGATGTCACAGTTTTGTCAAATTACGGACACTGTAATGTGCGATCAACATGTACGCCAACAGCGAATCTGTACCCGATAGTAATCGATCAAGGCAAACCCATGCATTTGACTCTGTTGATGTTATACGTATTGGGTAACCCGTCTGCGCAACGCTTTTGGGATTCCATCCACCGCTGTATCTACCTTAATTTTTCGTCCCATCAGACATTTGTTGTGTGCGGACACGGTTCAAGAGCGCGATTCGTGGATAAAATGGTTCAATCTTTGTCTGGACGCTCTAAACGACTGGATGCCTGAGCATTTCGCTTGTCTCGCAGCGTACGATGCTCGTCTTGATTTCTCGCAACCCGTCTCGTCCAGTTTGTCCGCCTTGCTTATGCACGGTGACTGTCACTGAATAAGCAACCACGGATGCGCCCCATTTGTACCACGTTCGTTCACCCTCCGTCTTTCTCTTTCATGTTCGTTGTCACCAGCCTTTTCTGTCTACTATTTTTTTACACCAAATGCATCTACGCCTCTCATGTTCTCTTGTTCCTCCTCACTGGTGGTCACTGCTGGGCGGTTTTCGGTGCCCACTCGATTGCACAGAATTACCGGAATTGAATTCTGTGGTATTTTGCTCATGGCGCTCTTTTAATGTTTTGATTAGCAGGCTGACTATATTTGTTCTTATCGCACCCAGAAGCACCATACTGAATCCGTTGGCTGGCTGCTTAATTAACTTGAATTCCACATCTGATGGTCGCCGTCTGTTGATTTTTTTTCAAAAACCCACACCACATCTATGGCTTTCCACTGTGCAACCACTGCCTACTCTTTGCCAGCTTAGAAATTCGTCAAGCAGCGTTTCACAACTTTGCACTGCGTGTAATTCATTTCTGCTTTCACATTACACCTACAAAACGCTAAACTTTCCCGCAGCATTAACAGGGAATTCACCCTGCGTTGGTCCTTGGTGGCGATTAACTACCTTGGCAGCTGTATCAGCGCATGTGAGATAACCTATAAAGCGACAAACCATGTAACAAAACGTTGAGGTTCTCCTTGTGGCATGGAATCATTATCTCTCTGAAGGATAGAATTCAGGATGTAGCCGCCCGTTCAACCCCCTGTATGTCACTATAATCTGACAAATCAGATCGATAGACCTGCAGAGGCTATATAATTCTGGCTGAATCCGGTTCCGGATTTGCCTGTCACTGCGGCCTTCCTGATGACAGACACAGGACGCCTGTGTCTACAGTTGGACCATGGGTGACTTGCGCAGCATCACCCACAGCTCCGTCCACACACACCCCTATCCATTGTAAGGATGGATTCATAAGACCGGGAGGCATGTGAATGGTAGTCACGTCTCATTAACGGAGGCGGCTCACACACCTTCAACATGCAAAGCGGCAGAATTCCTGCCTAATTGAGGAGTCAGATGTACGCAAGCCAGTGGCTTGGCTGTAGTCCGCTCCACACTGAGTGCACGGAATCATCATCATCATCATTATACATGTCAGCTAGAGGTGGTGAAACACTTCCGCTATTGTACCGCAATACATACAGGAAATACATACATACAATACATAAAGGAAAAATAAATACGACAGTTGCATGCCAGCTGAGCTACCAGCAACGGATAGGCATCGTTCCGGTAAGCTACCAGCCAGCTACTAGGCAAAAAAATTTATTGTTTTACCCTGCGAAATGAGATCGCAGATGGAGGGGGAGGCTAAAAGGGATGGGGAGGGATAAAGAAACTCACAGCACAAACGCCACTGGGGTCGGCTCCTTGCCATCTCAGCAAGTGTATCCAGCCAAACGTGTTCACCGTCTTTTGGACCTCAACCAGGGAGCCGTGAAGCTCCAACCGAGGCCAGCTCCGAAGTAAGGGACTTCATTCCTCTAAACCAGGTCATCGCTTGACCACCTCTCCTCTTCTTCCACTCACATCCCCGGAGAGCAAACAACGCACGTCGAGGGAGTCGGTGGGCTAGCACGCGCAACACGTGGCCGAGCCATCGGAGCCTGGTGCGTGAAATAACGGTGCTGAGCGGTTCATTCCCTTTTCCTGTGCCGTAAACAAGGCGTCGAACACGCTCGTTACTCACGCGGTGTTCGCACCATATGTGAGCCAAACTGCGAAGGCACCGATGGTCGAACGTAACTAGCCTCTTCATGTCCGCCGATCTTAGGGGCCAGTTTTCGCAACTGTACAGTAGGGTCGAACGTACCGCTGCATTGTACACTCTACCCTTCAGCGCGAGAGTGACGTCGCGCCGCCGCCATAGGTGGCGAAGGTTAGCAAAAGCACTTCGAGCTTTCGCTATACGGTTCGTGATCTCGTCTTCGATCCCAAGGGCGCTTATACAACTTTCCAGGTAATTGAATTTCTGAACGACTTCTAGATGATCCCCACCAAGGGGCAGCACAGGGGGCGATCCCTGCCAATCTTGGAGGAACGCTTTGCACTTCATTGGTGCAAAGC